GGACGAGTGAGTGCCACAGCGCACATGCGAAGGACATGGGACAACTGGCTGAAGTCAGTTCTCTGTTTCCACCGTGCAGGTTCTGGGGATCGAACGCAGGTCGTCAGTCTTGGTGGCAGACGCCTTTACCCACTGAGCCGTGCCACTGACTCTTTACCCACCTCATCTGTGTGAGCAGGGTCTCTCATCGGATCTAGTAATGGAATTACAGACACACGCTAACCTGCTTTATTTCCATTATCATGTGTGTGTTTGCATGTTTGTGTGTGTGCGCGCGTGCACGCACATGTACCACAGTGCACCTGTGGAGGTTACAGGACAATTTTGCACAGATTGTTACCAATAACCTAATGAAGGCAATAAATAGAGAAAACACAGATGGACAGGCACGTAGCAAGTACAGAAAGGGTGAAATCAGGTGGGCCCTGCTTTCTCTACTGGAGAAGCACCGACTTGGTAACAATGGGAAACCTCAGCACGTTTATTATGCTCGGCCTGAGGAGGTGTTAGCTCCTCTCCAGTAGGCAGTCTCTGTAAGGGGAGCCCTTTCAGGTTGCGGTCATTTGGAAGGAGGAAGCTGCGGTTGCTAGTTTTTGCACACATCTAATACTTGAACTCAGACAAGAAAGCCTTCTCATTCCTCCGAGCCTCACCTCAAGAATGCTTTGCTATCCCGTGGATCTGAAGCACTGGGTTCCTTGACATGCCTGTGCCTATATCAACACACACTCACTCGGGACTTCATCTGCCCCTTCCACATTCAGCTCAAGGCTTCCTCAGCTCCTCACACTGGAGTGCGTTTTCTCCTCCCACCTTTCTGTGGGTCCCAGTAATTAAACTTACGTTGGAGGCTTAAATGGCAAGGGCCTTTACCCACTGAGCACTCTTGCTGGCTCATGTTGCTCAGGTTTTTGTGGTTTCTGGGGATTTTAGCTCCGTTCCTGATGCCTTCAAGGCCAGCCTGGGATGTGTGAGACATGGTCTTAAAAATAAAACCAAATGTCACATGTGGTGGTCCATGCCTTTAATTCCAGCACTTGGGAGCCAAACGCAGGCAGATCTCTGTGAGTCTGAGGCAAACCTGATCTACAAAGTAAGTTCCAGGACAGCTAGGGCTACACAGAAATCCTGTCTTGAAAAACCAAAACAAAGCAAATCAACCAACCAAACAAATAAACAGACAAAAACAAAACAAATATAAACCAACAATTACTGTTAAAAACTAGAAACATTGGGACTGGAGAGATGGCTCAGAGGTTATAGAGCATTGCCTGCTCTTCCAAAGGTCCTGAGTTCAATTCGCAGCAACCACACGGTGGTTCATAACCATCTGAAATGGGGTCTGGTGCCCTCTTCTGGCCTGCAGGCATACAGACAGACAGAATATTGTATACAGAATAAATAAATAAATATTTTTTTAAAAAAACTAGAAACATTGAGGTAACCATCTGAAGTCATCAGTTTATGAGCTTAAAATGTCTATAGCATTCATTATTAAATTTATTGTTTTCAAATTTGATGCCAATGTCAGATGCCAATAAGAAGGGAAATGCAGGCCGAGAAATGCAGTTGGGATAAGAGTGTTTGCCACCCAAGCATGATGTCCCAGCACCCCGAAGCATCACCAAAAGAAGAGGAAGAAGTCCCTATATCTAATCAAGTTTTTATTTAAAACATATTAAATATTCGGATTCTAATTATAAGGGATTTGGGATACATTAAAATAATTAAGTTTAAGTAAATAGAATAATCAGGATTGAAACTGAGAAGTGTAATTCTGTGTGTGTGTGTGTTCATGTGACCACTACGGGACTTGACCCAGGCAGTATGGGAGACAGACAGCCAGTCTCAACAAGGCCACTGTCTCAGACCCAGTCCTGGAGACCACAGTACGCAGAGTAAGTAATCAGGAAAGAACAATGGATAAAAAGAGTAGAAATCAGGGAAAATGTGAATCTAAGCATGAAGTAGAATCCATGAGTTCTGTACATGGAAAGAAGCACAGACCACGACAGACCACATGTGAACACACATACACACACCACATATCACATGCACCCGCATCTCTTATTGACTTTACTCAGACAATACGGCCCAAAGGCTTTCCTACATTCTTCCTCCCTACCTGTATTGTATAATAGCAGCCTGATTAACCATGATGGTCAGGACAGTTGGATCAGTCACCTCAGCGAGTACTTTGCCTGCCAGTGCAGAGTCCAAAGAGGCCAGATGGCAGCTTCAAGTACCAGTGCAATGGTGAAAACGTTTCTTCCACTGTAACCAAGCCCTCCAGGTCAGTACAGACAACTTAGCTGCAGAGACGGGAAGTGAGCAGCTCACTACTAACTACGGCTCATAATGAGGGAAGACATTTTTGGTTTGGTCCTCTGATGGCTAGCCTCATGTATCCTGGCTGTGAGAGAAGCATGGATGCTCACTCTGAAGAGCACATCCAGCACACTAGAGGATGACATCCCAGCTCTGCCAACCATCCCTACCTAGCTGGCGCTGGGACCAGATGTCCAAAGACCCATTCAGCCATCTGCCATGGGAGACCCTTCTGGATGACAAAGGACGGGGTGAGAATGAGTTCCACGTGAATAAACCGGTGGTTAATCTTGACTGTCCACTCGACAGGATTCAGAGTCACCATGGAAACACACGCTGGGTATGTGCGTGAGGGTATTTCCAGAGAGGTTTAGCCAAGAAGGTAAGACCCACTCTGAATATGAATGCTACCTTCTATAGGTTACCGTCCTAGGACTGGATAGAAAGAAGTGAGCCAGAAGAGCTCCCCAGCATCCATCTCTCTTTGCTTGCCAGCTGCAGATGCAGTGTGGCCAGGTGCCGCATGCCCCAACCACCATGCTTTCCCTGCCACGGTAGACTGTGAAGGTTTGAAAGAAAATGGCTCCCAACAGGAGCAGCACTCTCAGGAGGGTGTGGCCTTGTTGAAGGATGTGTCTCACTGTGGGGCTTTGAGGTGTCTTTTCCTCAAGCCTCCCTTCGGGTAACAGTCAGTCGACTTCCTGTTGCCTGCAAGAGGCAGCACACTCTCAGCTCCAGCACCATGCCTGCCTGCATGCCACCATGCTCCCCATCATGAAGATAATGGACTGAACCTCTGAAACTGTAAGGGAGCCACCCCAATTAAATGTCTAAGAGAGTTGCTGTGGTCATGGGGTCTCTTCAAAGCAATGAAAACCTAACTGAAGGCTGCTTTTGACGGGCATTAAGCTACAGCAGTAGAAGCGGGGCTGGGGGTGAGCACTCACTCAGTCCACAGGTGCTAGTTCTGGCAGTCGTGGTGGGAGCAGGGAAGGCAAATGTACATCCAGAGCAAGTGTTAACTCCAGGAAGAACAAAGGCATCGCCTCATCCACAATGAAAATGGTCCAAGGTGGGCAGCTGGCCGAACCTCTGGCTGCGGTGGAAGGTTAGGGCGACTTCTGCTGACAGATGCTGAGCGGCATGTCCATGAATAACCTCCACTGTCCCCACAGCCACGTTGTCCGTGAGCCATCTGCCTGCAGGAGTGCCTGCGGGAGGCTGTCTGTGGTCCATGGCATGGGTGTGCACCGAGCAGAGCTCATCCTACGTACTACACATTACTGCAGCCTGCACACTATTCCAGCCTTCCTTGATCCTGGGGTGGGGATTCACATGGAGCACAGGCCATTCCCACTCACGCTAGCTTCCTCCATTTCCCTCAGATTTTGTCATCGGTGTTTCAGTTACGTTTCTTCTAGGGCCTATCCAGGCAGATGAGGATTTGATAATGGTCCATTTCTCCATCCATCTCCTTTCAGGTGAGGTGGAGCTGGTACATGGTTCCAAGTTCTACCCTCTGGGAGAATGGCCGTCTTTCAGGAGTACCACAGAGGGAGGTTATGGCTGTGCATCTTTGGGTGATGGATGCCTGCCCAGGGTCAGGAATGTGTAAACCAAACCTGAGAGTTGCCTTCTCCAGTTGTTGGATCTCAGGGAATTCCCTATGAAGGCATGTGTTGGAGTAGGAGCCAATGCAATAGACTGTGTCTTATGTGGTAACAGAAAACCACAGATTGGGGATTTATAAACAAGTTTCTTCTTGTATTCACTGGTGCGCAGTATTTGTTTACACTGTGAAGATGTGTCTTTGCCAAGGTGCCTTCTGATTGGCTAATAAAGAGCTGAATGGCCACTAGCTAGGTGGGAAGAAGTTAGACTGGACTTCCAGGGACAGAGAGGCCTCAGGAAGAAGAAAGGAGGAGTCACCAGCCAGACGCAGAGGAAGCAGGATGGGCAGTACATAGGTAACCAAGCCATGTAAAAGAATGTAGATTAAAAGATATGGGTTAATTAAAGATGTAAGAACTAGTTAGGGCTGGGTGGTGGTGGTGCACACCTTTAATCCCAGCACTCGGGAGGCAGAGGCAGGTGGATCTCTGTGAGTTCGAGGCCAACCTGGTCTGGTCTACAAGAGCTAGTTCTAGGACAGGCTCTAAAACTACAGCAAAACCCTATCTTGAAAAACCAAATCAAACTAAAACAAAACAAAAAATTAGTTAGGAACAAACCTAAGCTAAGACTGAGCTTTCATAATTAACATCCAGTCTCCATGTTGTTATTTGTGAGTTGGTAACCAAAAGAAAAATCCGTCTACAATCCACAACAAAGACACTCCTGATGTCTTTGAATGATGGGGGCATTCTCATGCCCCACCTTAAAGACCCTACCTCCCAAGACCCTCACAGATGGATTACTTTGCAACATGATCTTTAAAGAGAATATTCAAACCACAGCAAACAAAAATAGGGGCATGAGCAACTCTAGGAACTGTAGTATGGAGGTGCGGCGGGCTGTGTCCTGCTGCCAGGCTAGCTGGGAAACGAAGTGTGCATAAAACCATTAGCTATTAGGGTGACTTACCAGAGCACCATCTGCAACAGGGACAGACTAGAAACTCTTGAGGTAAACAATTAGCAAGGAGTGATCACAAAATAGAATTTTCAACAGTCTTTAAAAACATCACAGCACATTTATTGACAGGAAAAGTAGTGCAGGTCCTGTTGATATGTGAACAAAATAGAAAGCAAAATAGCATACGGTATGGATTCCATCTTTGTAAAAATATATAGGTATATGTAGCAAACAAAAGACCTATAGGCATGGACACTGAGTGGGCAGCTCAGTGGGTGTTTATTGTTCTCGATATGTCACTCCCATCTAGTGCAGGCTGGCTTTGAACTTGCAGCCTAGCTGAGGGTGATCTTGAACTTCTGATCTTCTTGCTTCTACCTCCCAAGTGCTGGAAGTTGCATGTGTTATCATTTGTTTTGGTATTAAGAGGTCTGTCCATTACAGTCCTTCATTTTGATTAAATGAGTATGGTTTTGAATGCTCTTTACAAAGCAGAACTGATTTCTAAGTTGTCACAGAAGCCACGGTCTTCCAGTGTATAGGAAGGAGATGGCAGGAGCCCCCATAGTCACATCCCACAGGACAGCCAGGGAAGAGCCTGTGACATTAGCACCTCCATCCTTGGCTCTGCTCCAGGGTCTGCAGGCCCAGCCAGCTCCGCTCAGCTCGGCCATGCTACTCTTGCTGAGTTACCAGCCTCAGCATCTTCAGAGCCATGGCCCCTTGGTCTGCAGGAACCTGGAACCAAGAAGCATTTAGATTAGTGTTCCTGATGCAACCACTGGGTCAAGGACAAGGGTGACTGACATCCACCTTTCTAGCAGAGATCTAGAAAGATGTGACAGCTGCCTGTAAAGAAATGGCCTCCTTGCTGGACCAAAGTTCTTCTGGGCTCCCAGGGTGTTGGGGCCTGAAGGAGTTGGCATTTAGGAAAGAGCCCCCTTTATTCCACATGGGAATGATCTGTTCATTTCTCTGTTCCCTCTCTTTCCATGTCCCTTTCTCCTTTCCCTCTTCCTTCCTCTCACTCTTTTTAGCAGAGCGGGAAACCAAACCCCAGGCCTCACACACATTAGGCAAGTGTTTTACCACCGAGTCACATACATAGCTCTTGCTGACTTCCTTATGGGGGCTGTGCTTATGGTACTCGGATTTGGCCTCTTTAAGAAAGAAGGAAGATGGTGCAGAAGGAAGGACTGAGGATGTAGTTCAGCTGCTAAAGTCTTTGTCTGGCATGCAAAAGACGTGCGTTCCATCCCCAGGAATGGTAACACGCAAAACAGGCTGAGAGGGTACATGGCTGTAAGACCAGCACCTGAGAGTGGAGGCAGGAGGATCATGAATTCAAAACCAGATTTAGCAACATAGAAAGTCAGAAGGCAGCTTAGGCTAAATTATTAGACCCTGCCTCAAAAAAGCAAAGCAAAACAAAACAAAACAAAAAACATCACTATGTTTAATAAATTTTGGGGTAGCTGAAGAGATGGCTCAGTGAGTAAGAGCAAGGCTGCTCTTCCAGAGAGAGAACCTGGGTTCAACTCCATGGTGGCCCAAGACTGTAACTCCAGTTCTAGGGGATCCAATATCCTCGCACAGACTTGCAGGCAGGCAAAACAAGAATGCACAGAAAATAAAAATAAATAAATTTAAAAAATGTTCTTTTAATTTAAAAATTCAGATATGGGCGTGGGCATCTGTAACCCTAGCACTCCTGTGGCAAGACAAAAGGTGG